GGGAGTGGCAAAGGTATCAGCTGGGAAGAATAGAGTGTCCTGGTCATCCCTGTCCTGGCGATTCCTCTCCTGGATTTTTGCTATGGGCCAAATGTTTGTGTACCTCCAAAATTCACGTGTTGAAACTCTAATCTCCAGCGTGATGGTATATTTGGAGGTGAGGTCTTTGGGAGGCAATTAGGTCATCAGGGTGGAGCCTTCATGATGGGCTTAACGCCTTTATAAAACAGAGACTGGAGAGAGATAATCTGTTTCTCCCACCAGGATGTGGGCCTTTATCAGACACCAGATCTTCCAGACTCCAGAATTGTGAGAAATAAACATTTGTCGTTTAAGCTACCCAGCTTACGGTGTTCTATTATGGCATCCCAAACTGACTAAGACAATTTCTGACCAGAATCAAATCACCAGAGGTATTCAAACAGAAGCCAAAGTCTTTTCCTCTGAATGGAACATTTGTGTGGAAAGCAGGGCTGGGGGACAGAGGGTCTTAAGAATAAGGCAGATCCCTTTAAGAAAGAACTGAGCCATTCACCGTGCAGTCATGTAGCCTCTGAAGGGGAAAGAGCCATCTCTCTCCCTCACCCACCCCCAGCCCCAGGGTCAGGAGATTTATTGATCTATCCCATCATGGGCTTGGCCACTAATTGACAGCATGATCTTAGACAAGTCACAAACTCTGGTCTGAGTCTTCACCCATAGACAACCTCTGAGGACCTATTTTCTCTAAATGATATCTTCCTTTGAATTTTCTCTCTCCTTTCCACTCCTCTAGCTCACCTTTTTCAATGCTACAGGTTGAGAAGGATTTCTTAGGCGCTACAATAGAGACGAAAAAAGTGTGGTTGCCTTTAGGAGATTATAATATAGTAAGAAGGAAGCATGTATGTGCAGAGATAATTAGAGGACTGAATAGCATATGATCCGCTCTCTGGGCTCCTGTTTAGGAATTTCTAAACAGGAAGGTGTGGTATGAAGCAGTAGAAAAGAAAAGCTTTGAACTGGGCCTTAAAGAATCTCCAGAACTTAGGCTGCAAAGAGGAGGAGGGAAGAGAGTGTGGTTAATACAACTTAGACATGGAAATTAAAATAAACAAGTTTTAGGGAACAGGGAGCAGTCAGCATGATTGGTACGGGGGTTATGTTAGACAATATGAGAGTATAACTCTATATTGAAATACATTCGAAGTGATTTTATTTTATTCAGGTGCAGTGCTAGTCAATTTAGAATTGATCTGAGAGGCCAAGGGAACCTGAGTCAGTTTCTGAGCAGATGAGAGAGTTGTTCCAACCTCAATTGCTAAGCCCCTTGATTACGTGGCTGGGCTTCTTTCTGCATTTTAGAGCCTGTATGTATTTTGGCTTCAGACACCAGTTATCAAGTGGGGGATTATATTGGGCTCCATCCCCAGCTTCTTAGTAAAGATCTTTAACCCTCCCTTTAGGACACTTGAAAACAGGCAGAACAGCTCAAGATCATGAGAGGAAGCAGGTAAGAGGCACTTTCTTGCCTCCATTCTAACCTTTTGCATTAATCATATCAATTCCTGGCAAAACTCACACCAGCACAGAACACAGCTGTGTTGTCCCTGCTTTAAAGAGTTAAAGGCTCAGGAATACTGACAGCCCAGCTCAGAGCTGTTGAATTATCTTTAAAAGAGAGTGACCTAGAATTCATTAGGCTATCGTCTTAACATCTGTAAAAAGGAAGCAGTCTCATCAGATAGGAAATATATGGGAAAAAATGGGCAATATTACCTCAAGTTCAGAAATTTTTACTCTTAGAAGGAAATATAGTTAATATCTTAAGAGCTAAAGAATAATGAAATCCCATCAAATGACATGACAGCCTGGGTGGGGATTGCAGGTTTTCATGAGTAGGCAGAAAAGACAGGCAATTTTAAGTATGACTCCAGCTGGGGAAGGCACCTTCCCTGTGCTGTGCAAGACTGGGAGACAGCCTGTGTGGAGGGTTTGACGTAGTGACTATAAGTAACTGTATTCAGCACATGCCATTAGGGTCACTGTCAAGAATCCTGTCCCATTCAATATCTGGGTCCAATATCTCAACAAGCAGACTAGGTGTTCCCTGACATTGTCATAAACAAATCATTTCCTTAACAGTAAGCCTATTTTAACATGGAAAGACTCGAGCTAAGTACAGAAATGTTTAAGAGCATCAAAATCATAATGTTGATATTTGTGCCTTAAGGAATGATGCATGTGTAGCATTTTAGGTATTTATAATTTTACAAATATTATAATTTCATCTATGCAGATTAGTCTTGTAAGTTCAATTTATAAGTGTGCAATTGACTAACAAATTTTCACTTGCGAGTTTCAGTTGAAATCTCACTAAGTTTATACAGTATTGGAATATTTAAGAAAACTTAAGTTTCACCACATTTATAAGTTTAAGAAATTAGATTTGTAATAATAACAACTTGAGAAGATTTGTTGGTTAATTGAAGTACTTAAGAATATAAAAAATATTTAATTCATAAATATAGTGAAGAAGTTTAAAGGGAAATCTAATTAACTAAGTTTAAAGCTGTGCCCCAAACATTAAAGTCTCCTTAAAATTGAGTGTTAAAATTTGCTAGACTTAAAAATAGAATAATAATATTCATCACATGAACTTAAAGGTATAAGAATGGCTTATATTTTTTCATTTTTACCAGTTTGGTCCAGAAACCCAATCACTCTATTCACTGCACATCTCTTGAAGCACCTCTCCAAGCTTAAAGCAAAAATCTCCCTTCACTGCCATTTATTAAGGGGAAATTCTTCTCTATTATTTCATGCATGTCCTCTATTCTCTCAATCTTCCCATCTGGAATTCACATTAGAAAGAATATAGAATTTCTGGATCTATTCTCCATGTATACAGACTTTTCTTTCATGCTTTTTAATCTATTGACTCCATGTACTGGGAAGAACTTGTCACTTCTCAGCTTTTATTTTCACTGTTCCTGTAGCCCCAGTGACTCCTAAACCACATTATTAATCCACATCCAACATACAATCAAAACAACCTTGATTAATGAGCCCTAAAGTGACAAGATGATGAGGAGGACACCAAGACGGTCATAACCTGATCTCCCACTTCAACAATGAGCTGGTAGTGCCATCAGAGGCTGCAGTTTCCCAAGCAAAGGCAGTTAGAGATCACAGAAATCACTGAAGAGGTATTATCACATTAACAGGCATGGTTATATTGCGTTGAGTTTTTTTAAAGAGTCTCTTTGGGCTTCCCTGGTGGCGCAGTGGTTGAGAGTCCACTTGCCGATGCAGGGGACGCGGGTTTGTGCCCCGGTCCAGGAAGATCCCACATGCCGCGGAGCGGCTGGGCCCGTGAGCCATGGCCGCTGAGCCTGCGCGTCCGGAGCCTGTGCTCCGCAACAGGAGAGGCCACAGCAGTGAGAGGCCCGCGTACCGCAAAAAAAAAAAAAAAAAGAGTCTCTTTACCTTGGTTATGGCAAATCAAGCATGGGATACCCATGAAGGGGTTTGGCAAAAACTCAGGAATTGAGACCCCAGGTTTTTGGAAGAGTTGAGATAAAATACAAGCAAAAGTAAGGGAGGGCACCCTTCCTCCATCCCTTCCTTGGTGAAGGCTTCCATAAAATTATAATAATCGTGCTCAATTTATTGCTCATTTCAGGGACTAGAAGATAGCCCCAAACTATGGACTTGGACCTGAACCAGAAGTTCCTCCTCTGAGAACCCACTGGGTTGCATCTCACTTGTGTTCTCTGTGTGCAGAGACTGCAGGAATGGACATTTCTGCTCTCTCATAAAGACTGCTAGTATATTTACACTTACAGTTTTCAAAATTCCAGTCTTAATCTGGTTCATGCCAATTATTCCTAGAGTTCCTGCTCAGGCCTAGATACCAGCAATGCCGTTTTCACGTAACCTGCAGTTGACAGCTCACTCTTCTGAAATACAAACTTGTCAAAATCATAGAAATTTGCTGGGCTAAGGAAAAGAACCCTAAAATACAGGACACACATGGCGCAGAATGCCATGATCACCTGGGGACCACGGCATGTGGGCATTTCATATGCCAGAAATGTATTAAGGTCTATTGCATTGTTCAAGATAAACATGTAGGCACCCACATCTGCTCTTTTCAACCCTTACATTAAAAAAAAGAAATGTATCCAATTCATTGGCCTAAAGAATCCACTCACCTCCCTCTTCAGTGTCATGTGATAAGACCAGACTGGGGCAGCTTCCTGGATTTGTCAGTGCTTCTGGAAAGCCAGGGAGCTTCAGGTTTTAATTGCCCATGTGACACCTCCAGCTACCCACTACACTGCCTCTTTTCCTTCATATTCAAGTCAACCATCACAGACTCCTGCAGTACTCCTTTTCTTTCCTGTCACAGCAGAGACTGGCCTTTCTGACTAATATGGTACTAAATTAACTTCGATTTTGTCTCAGAGGCCCTAGATTCATAAAATGTGACAGCTGGAAATTGATTCATCCAATTCAATTCCCTAACGTCAGAGAGAAGGACATGGTAAATGTTAAAACCCTAGAGGCTGGTGAATAGTAAAGCCAGAATGAGAAAAGATTTCCTGACTCTCCATTGGAGGTTACTTAGTCCACCAATGAGAGAAGGGCTCTGACTTTTTACCTAGGTATTCCATTAAAGGATTTTCCTTGTTTTAACCCTTCAATTATTTTAGCAGAGCAGAGGGCATGGTGGCCATACTATGCTGTGATGATTTTTTTACTCTTTGGATAACATCATGACTCTCCTTTCCCAAATTTTCATGGCTTTACCAACCATGTGCCCTTCTGTAACCGTGGATCAGCCCTTTTATCTTCTCTGAGAGAGTACATCATAGGATGACTTCCGGCTTGCTTTTCCCAGGGGAGAACGCAGGTGCTACAGAAAGAGATTTCTCACAAAAAGGAATTTCAGTGTCACACAGCGTCTTCTTCATGACATAAAGGTGGGGTGCAGTTGAATAACAAAAACAAAGATCTGAGGTGTTTGAACGAAGGTCCATGCATTCATTTATTTCTCATTGCAGCAACAAGATAAACAAGTGAAATTCCATCTATAATGAGTTACAAATGGTAGTAAGGCCAGGAACCCTGAGCATATATATCTATAAGGCAAATAAAACAATATTTTTCAGTGTGGGCATCACACTTTAGATGACCTGGGGAGAGCCATTCCAAGCCCCAAATACCATGACACCAAGAATCATTCTCAACCAGTTGTTCTCCAAACAAAAGGTGAAAAGGCAAAATTGTGATTAAAAATAATAAAATTTAAAAAAAGAGAAATTTCAACTAGAAAGACTGGATGCCCAAAGTCACATCTCTTCTTCTGATTCTTGTTCTCGTTCAGCATTTTTCAGGAGTCCAACTTCTGAGGGGCAGAACCTCTTAAATCGAGATTTAACCAACCTGAGGAGAATGAAAGTCATCTCGTATTATGCTGTTTAAAATTAAAACCCAAAACTGTATGTATCTATAACACAGCAAACTCCAAATTATCTGTGCAGACAGAAGAGGCACCCCTAGAAGGAAAATCACTTTCATTTGGCTTTGGAGCCACCTGCAAATATTGTGTAGATTAAAGCAGCATATAAGCAAACAGATACCATAAAGCTCTTAAATGTGTAATATGATTGTCTGCATCATATTCAAAATTTATAACTTTAATCATTTCTAAAACAAGCAAGAGAATCTCTGGGCTGTAGTAATCCCAGATGAAACCAAGCTCAGCTGTGTGGTCCAAAAAGGAGCCCTCTCCTAGGAAGGAAGTGCATGAAGGCATCTCCTGCCCCATGTCGAGCCCCACGTCAAGTCTGGGCTGTACTGCAGCCTCTATTCATGTCTTCAGAGGAGTGCTTTTGTGCTGGCCACAGGGTGCTCAACCACATGTGATGCTCCATGATGAATTAAGAAGTTGAAAGAAGTGACCTCCATTCTTGTAACTGTTTTCATAGATTAAGAGAATCTGTAGGTCAGAAGGAATTACAAGTTTTGACATTGGAAGATGTGAAGCTTCTTAGTGGCAGGAACTCAGCAGGCTCTCCACTTTCTCTGATGTAATAAGAACCAGGCAAAGCTTTTCCTGTGCATGATATTTGTGAAGACATTGTGCTGCGACCATGTCAATAAAACATAGTTAACTTCCAGAAATACACAGGGATATGCAAACAAACTGATAAACCAAATCATCAAAATCATTCCCGTTTTATGAAAAACGTCACCAGCCTATCTGTAGCTTTACACTTGTTTTCTGCCTTTCTTCTTCCAGTGAAGGTCTGGCCCACCCCTCTCAATATACAGTGCTTTTACTTGTGCTCTGGATCCCACTAGAGTATGAACTTCCTAGGAGCAGAGACTTCATCTTATTTACTGCCCTAACTCTGCCAGAGTCTAGAACAATGTCTGGTACACAATAGTGGCTCATGACATATTTGATGATTCAGTGGGCTGCGGAGCAATCTGCCAGGAGTTCATATCACTCACCTCCTCAGAGGTAATTCTTCAGTCACTTCCAACTCAGCATTAATTCCTCCAACATACAACAACTGAGCAGTATCAGTAACAACTATTGACTCGGCAAGAGTCAAGAAAAAGTATTCAAAATCATTTGCCTCGATAATTAGTTGACCATTGACATTGTTCCCAATGTCCTCAACTCTTCAAGGCACTGTTCTCAGGAAAGGCTAATAGTTTGAAGTAAGTTGATGACTGGGACAGTGTGTCATTTTTAAAAAATATTTATTTATTTATTTGGCTGCGCTGGGTCTTAGTTGCGGCACGTGGGGTCTTCATTGCAGCATGCGGGATCTTTAGTTGCAGCATGTGGGATCTTTAGTTGCAGCATGCAGGATCTAGTTCCCTGACCTGAGATCCAGCCCGGGCCCCCTGAATTGGAAGCATGGAGTCTTAGCCACTGGACCACCAGGGAAGTCCCAATGTGTCATTTTTTAAAGCCACACAGTTATCTCCACATTGCACAACCTGAATATGTGCTAACTGAAAGGGATTAATTAGTTAATTCATTCATTAGGTTCATTCCTGATGACTCTTGTGGAAAATAAAGCAAACAACTGGCTACTGATTACAAATTAACTGTTAACACAGACCCTAGTGACTCCTGCACTTCCCCACTCCTCCTCTCTGGGTTTCATCTGCTGTTGTTACAAACCACCAAGCTAAGGCAAATTCAGGCTCTATCTGCACCCTGAAGCCCTTGGTATTGGCACACGCAGAAATGGCTACTGGGGACAGATTGAGGGATGGAGTAATAAAGAGGAAGTGCAAATAACTGCTAGTTCCTGGAATGATGCAAGTCCAGAGAACTAAAGTCAGGGTGTGTCTGGGCTTTTGCTCCCATATGTTCTCTTCAGTTAATACAAGAGCAGAGCTGAGACTTTGGGTATACTTCCAGAGTCAATCTGGAAATCAAACAACCAGAAATCAAACTACCATATGCCTGGAATTTGGTCATTTCTATTTTGTTCTTCAAAATGGCTCACAAGAATCATTTGCTTGGAAAACCAACCTGAAAATGGGTAATATTTCTCTGTCCATTCAGAGGGGCTTTTGAAATAGTTCTGTACCACAGTGGTGTTTAAATATGAAATACAGTAAAACACATAATAAGATTTCCCAACAGATAGGTCTCTCCTATGAGCTGTCATGATGAGAACTGCAGGCATGGGACCAGATGAAGCAATCTTTAAACCATGATTCTGGAGAGCTGGGAAGTACAGCTTCATTTTTCAGAGATTTTGGGGGCAGTAGTTCCATAACCCAGTTTTGGTTCCTTGGTGATCTTTGTGCTTTGTCAAATAAATGCGGATAGAATGTCCTCAAAACCCATCACCTGTGACTGAATTACAATCCACTACAATCCACTTGAATTATCCTGCATATGACCTCACTGAAAGTCAGTATTCAATCTTCGTGATATTCTTTAAGCTACTGCTTAAGTTGATAACAAAATATATCAGAACACAAGGTCTTGTTTTTATATTTCAAAAGCAGTATGAGAGCAAAACTTAAAAGCATATAAAACATGATTTCCAAACAACTGAACCCTATTTCCGAGTATTTCTGAAACAGATCTGTTAAAACAGCAAATTAAGTGTCTTGAGTACCTACTATATGTTTGACAGCATGCCAAGAGCTGTGAGAAATATGAAAAAGGTCTTTTCTTCCAAGTGACACAATCAAGTTAGCAGGTAAGACTAACATGAGCTAATAGTAAATATCACAAGATAGATCACAATTGTTAAGATGTGTGGTAGAGACTAAAGTACTGTAAACACTCATGAAGGGAGATAAGCAAAGGCTAGAACAATCACAGAAGTTTTCAGAGAAGAGATGAGCATTTAATTTGGATATGCCAGGTAGAGGCAACTGCATGGTCAAAAAGTGAAAGGTGCTGGGGAAGGAGAGGCAGTTGAAAAAGTAAACATGGAGTTTCTGGTTTCTAGAAAACTATAGGTAGATAAGAGATTCATTAGGGGTCTGAAGGTTTTTGAAACAGGAAGAGACAATAGCCTTCTTTTGGCTCTGGAAGGGAACTGACATGGGGTAGAGGGTCTCTTTGAATGCCGGCATTATTCTTGGAAGCTGCCCAGCCCCTAAGGAGATGAGGCCCAGAAGTCAGCCTAAAACAGCGGAGGAAGAAGCCAAGTTTCACTCAATGGCTGAGCGAGCCTAAACTACCAGCCCGTGCACGTGCTTTGAGGGAAATGAATAGGACTAATAGAAATCAGTCAATGAGAAAGTAGAATTTCCCAGCACCCATAGCACTTAGACCCCTAGAAGGAGTAACTACAGATCAAAGTGGGCTGACACAAAGCCTACCAGAGACATTTTGGAGCTAGACACGGAAATAGTTTCCTTATGCAGAGACACAGCACCAAAGCTCCTATAGCAGTAAAGCTCAAAGAAGCACAGAGCAGGAGAGGTAACCTGGGCAAATGTCTACAGAGAGGACTAGAAAGCTAGCTGGGGCAGAAGCTGAGACCCCACTGGGCCTAGAACCAGCTACTGTAATTTAGGGATCTAGAGCACCTGCTAGATGTGTACAATCCAATATGGTAGTCACTATGCATATATGGATATTTAAATTAATTAAACTTAGTGTGGCACTAGGCCCATGTCAAGTGCTCAATAACCACACATAGCTCATGGCTATATAATGAAGGCTGCAGATATACAACATTTCAATCAGTGCTAAAGTCTGAAGGATTGGAGTCTGCATGATTAGTAGTTGGGATCAGCCAGGCCAACTCTGGTTTGGCATTAGCTCTCATGCTAATGGAAATAATAAGGAACCATGTTCACTCCTTTCTACTCCTACTCATCCTTCAAGCTGCAGCTTAATTCTCAATTGTGAGGAGGCCTCCTCTGGGCTCCAATAGTGCTTTGTTCTTACACTGTTTCCATTTATTGTACTGTATTTAAATTGTCTCTCTCTCCCCATAGGGTCTACACATTATACATTTTTTGATACAGAAGAAGGAGGAGAACAAGAACGAGAAGAATAATAAAAAGAACAAGGGTGGGTGGGGGAGGTGGTTCTAGAGAGCAGCCTAGGAAGGTCCTGAATTCACCTCCTCCCATGGACACAGCAAATCTACAGCTATTTAAGGAACAACTCCCTATAAAAAAAAAATACCTGAAAACTAGCCAAACAGCTCCTCCACAGCAAAGGACAAGAGGTCCACACTGAGATGGGTAAAAGAGGCAGAGACACAGTCTCACCGAAAACCCCACCCCTGGTGTGGAGACCCACAATCGGAAGGGATCTCAAAGATACAGAGCTTTTCCCTGAGGAGCAAGAATTTGTGCCCTACATCAGTCACCCCAACACTTGGGACTCGCACTGGTGAGATGAGCCCCCAAAACATCTGGCTTTGAAAACCAACAGGGCTGACGTCCAGAAAAACCAAAGGGCTGTAAGGAATGGAGATTCCACTCTTAAAGGACCTGCATGCAGACTCACCCACCTGGCAATCCAGCACAAAAGCCACAGTTTGAAAAGTGCCTGGACCATATGTGAATGTGATACATTTGTTAATTTTAAAGCATCTGCCAGCAAGGGAGAAATCTGTTAGGACTCTCTCCAGGAATGGAAGCACTGGCAGGTACCATTTTTGCTTTCTGCCCCATCTATTTTGTTAGCACCAGCACTAGCAGTCACCATTTTTGCAGTCGCTTTCTAACCTGCTAGCACCAGTGTTAGAAATTAAAGGAGAAATTTAAAAATACCTGGAGAGGGCTTCCCTGGTGGCGCAGTGGTTGAGAGTCTGCCTACCGATGCAGGGGACATGGGTTCAAGCCCTGGTCCAGAAGGGTCTCACGTGCCGCGGAGCGGCTGGGCCCATGAGCCGTGGCCGCTGAGCCTGTGCGTCCGGAGCCTGTGCTCCGCAACGGGAGAGGCTGCAACAGTGAGAGGCCCGCGTACCGCAAAAATAAATAAATAAATAAATAATAAATAAATAAAAATACCTGGAGACAAGTGAAAATGGAAATACAACATACCAAAATCTATGCAATGCAACAAAAGCAGTTCTAAGATGGAAGTTTATAGCAATACAGGCCTACCTCAAGACATAAGAAAAATCTCAAACAACCTAAATTTTACACCTAAAGGAACTAAAAAAAGAAGAGTAAACAAAGCCCAAAGTTACTAAAAGGAAGGAAATAATAAAGAACAGAGCAGAAATAAATGAAATAGAGACTAAAAGACAAACAGAAAAGATTGATGAAACAAGGAGATGGTTCTTTGAAAAGATAAACAAAATAGACAAAACTTTAGCTAGACTCACTAAGAGAAACAGAGAGAAGGCTCAAATAAATAAAATCAGAAATAAAAGAGGAGAAATTACAATTATACCAAAAGAGACTAGTATGAACTATTATACACCAACAAATTGAATAACCTGGAAGTAATAGATAAATTCCTAGAAACATACAATCTTCTAA